AGGGCATCTCGAAGAATCTCTTTACAGAGAGGGCTGCCAGCGCTGGCACAGGCTGCACAGGGAGGGGGTTCAGTCCCATCCCTGGAGGTGTTGACCAGACGGGTGGGTGTTGGGTTGAAGGACGTGGGTCAGTGGGGTTGGTAGGGCTGGGAAGAGGTTGGACTCGATCTGTTCTAGGATTTATTCTATGATTCTAAATCGCCCCAAAGTTCAGCCGGTCATCTGGGTGATAGATCGGTCGCTTGTGATGAAGGGTGTCTGTGTGATGTGGCGTTTCAAATCGGGAGTTGAGGTCATTTTAGGCTTCGTTTTGGTGCTGTGAAAATGTCTGTATCATTAGATAGTAAGTCTTCGACTCTGATGAAGCAACAGACCTGTAGTACTGCTTGGAGTTAGGCAGCCAGGCAGGCTGAGGTACCATTAGTTTTGCTGCGTTTTGAGTCGGGAGATGAGAATTTGGGAGAATTTGTGCTTTTGCCGGTGTCACCCAGCTACATGGCCACACGCTTGTGCCTCAGCCACCAGGCGTTTCGCTGGCTGAGTGGTCGAAGGCAGCTGCTGCTGGGGATTCTTTTGTTCGGTGGCAGAGTCAGCTGCGTCTTCGGGAATCCGGTGCGTTATACAACCAAAATTTACATGGGAGTTGGAAAAATCTCAAAGGAAGGTTGGAGTTGGAGCTGCCCTGATGATGCATCTGTCTTTCCAAGTTTGTCACGATCCTCCGTGAAGACAATACAGAGACAGAGGCCTCCGCTCTCCAAGGCGAGCTGTTATTTATGGTTTGGCTTTCCGTGCCAGCTGGTTTTTTGAGTGCTGCCACGCAGCCGGACTCTCAAAGCAGCTGTTGTGGGCGTGGAAACCTCTGCCTTGTTGTTGCTCCTGGGCAGTTCTCCGAGGGAGTGGAAGACCCAGCTCCATTAACACCTTTTTCTCCCTCTGCGGTTTGTTACAGGATTTGTTCGGGAAGTGCGGGACAGGTCTCAGTGTCTGAAGTACAAGAGATTTATTTTATTTTATTTTCCCTGCTGGGCACAAGCTTGACCAGACCTTCCCATCTCAGAGTGCCTGGATGCTGTGGGGCTGGGCTAGAGCTTGAGCTCTGTCCTAACTGGTTCTCCTCTTTGATTCCAGGCCCAAGAGCGAGTACTCGGAGATCGACGAGGAGGATGCTCAAGCTCCCTATGACCCCAACGGGAAACCAGAGCGGTAAGAAGCTGATTGTGCTGCTGCAGCTGGAAAATGAGGCAGGACCGGCCCGGCGCATCCCTCTGGCTCTTGTTAATAAGAGAGTATCTACTCCAGGCTGGAGTTTGCTAGCCCGGGGAGCTGGCATTCCCTGAAAAGCAGCAGAGGAGTTGGTGTTAACTGGGGATACGCCCAGGCCAGGCAGGATTTCCCCTCTGGGCGATAGTAGGTGCCTCTGCTGAGTTCGTGTTAGCAAGTAGGGCCGTGTGGTGCTCGGTGAAGCCTGAGGCCATCCCGGGGAAAGGGGCTCAGGATACTTGTTCACCCGTGTGGGTCTCTCGTGCTCTGCTTGCTGGTGGTAACCCCTCTTGCAGAAGTGCTTTTGAAGCCTGTGGAGTCCCAAGCAGAGGGGCGGCGCTGGCTGTGGCGTGGTTGGGAGGTGAATGATGCCGATGGCGGATCAGGACAGGCTGGGGCTGCTCCATGGGCGCTCTCTCTGAGTTTGTGCCTCCTTGCAGAGCAGGCGGTGACTTAACCCCTTATCCTGTAACCTCAGGTTTTATTACAACGTGGAGTCCTGCGGTTCTCTGCGCCCGGAGACCATCGTTCTCTCGGCGCTCTCCGGCCTGAAGAAGAAGCTGAGTGACCTCCAGACGCAGCTGAGCCACGAGATTCAGAGCGATGTCCTCACTATAAACTGAGGTGGCCCTTTAGTGCTGAGGTGTGGGTGATGCAGGAGGTCCTCGCCTCTCCCTGTCAGTGCTCTGGGACGAGACTTTTGCCTCCCCGTCTCCCTTTCCTCGCCCAGCTCTCCTGCTGGTGACACTTCTTCCCAGGGAACACCAACTGTGATGCGCAGGGTAAAGCAGGAAGGGAATCGGTGAGTGTCTACGCTGGGACAGGCTTTGTCTCCTAAAGGATCCGAGAGTTTTTGGCTTTTTGCTGGGCGGCTTTTTTTTGTGCCTCGGTTACACAACCCTACGTGTCTCTTATTGTGTGCTCAATAAAAACCTGAACCCCCCCACCGCCTTCCGTCATCCTTAAAAGCTCGTCCGCAGCTGCAGGAGGAGATGTCGCATCATTTACTCCTCTCCAACAGGCATTAACTTAATGAGATCTCTTTGGAGGGAGCGGAGCTCTCTGCTGCTGACTGCTGCTCTTGACGTGTTCTCCTAAGCAGACCAGAATCCCTTCCAGCAGGTCGCCCGTCCCTCACCGCTGGGGTTAAGCCGATGTTTGAGGCCGGCCGGAGCAGAAGGCAGCGCTGCAGGGGAGCCCAGATGGGCTGGGCAGGCTCAGCTGTATTTAAAGACTCCTTTGGAGCAGACTCCATCCTGTGCTATAAAATCTTTACCTTAGGAGCTGGCATTAACCCCAGGGTAGGTCGTGTGCTGGGCTGCAACTTGGTGCAGGTCGTCTGCCGGCGCCTGGCGCCCCTCGGGAGGAACTCCGTGACGCTCTGCTAGGCCGTTGTGGCGTGGATAACCGGGCTGGGGCAGTTCTGGAATCGCTGCGAGATAAAGCAACTTGAGAAGCTCCTTCTCCACGGGCACTCGGAGCCCCTGCTGCTCCGGCACGTCCCCGGCGGGGGGTCAGGGGTGGCAGCGGGGCGCTGGCCCCGTTTCACTCAGGGTTGGCAACTTGCTCCACCCTTCTCCCCTTCCCAGCGGTTTTGGGGCTTCCCTTGGGATGGTTTAAGGTTTCCCTTGAAGTGTTTGAGGGTTTCCCTTGAAATGTTTTAGGGCTTCCCATGAAATATCCCGGCCGGGGCTGGAGGCAGAACAAAGCTTTGAGCTGAGGTTGCTGCCAGCAGCCGTAGGAAATCTTCCCCCCGCTCCCCTCCAGCGGTTTTTGTCTCTGGCAGGCGCTGCTCCCGCTCCCGCTTCCCGTTGGATGGAACAGACAAACAGGAAGGGCGGATAAGGGTTGTTTATTCGTGGAGCAACTCCTTAAAAAGAAGAAAACCCAAACATTTTTGGTAACAAACGTTCAATCTTTTGCAGAGGAGGGGTGTAGCCAGGGAAAAAAAGAGAGCAGGTTACACCTCTCACCTGGGGGAGGACGCACAACCAGGGCGGGTGCTGACAATCCTTCTGCCCCTCCTGCTGTCCTTGTCCCCTCCCCG